CAGCGAGATCATGGTTACTCGATGATAGCAGCCCTACTGTTGAATTGGGGCGTGAAGGGGAAGACTCCAAGACCTCTCAACCACGTTGGAAACCGCTTTTACTGATAACTGAGAGGTGGCCGAGGTCCACCAAGTGAACTCAAGTACCGGCAAAGGTTTATTATCATTCTTATTCAATTCCTTCAACGATCCTCCCGCATCAGCAATTTTAGTCTCACGGATTTCCTACGAGAGGAAGCCCTAGACATGACTATATCAGACGACCCGCTCCCATCACGGCATTGTCACGAGTAATGGGAGGAGAGCAAGACTAGATGTGGAGTCTCACTGTGTGGCTCGGCTTCTCCGGTTCTGATAGTCTGGAGAGAAGCATTTGCATGAGGTCTTGCAACTGCTTCTGCTGCTGGGCGCGAACAACTTCATTCTCTCCTTGATGCGGAACTGCGCTCGATCCTCTCAAAGCCGTCTACGGATGATCCTTGAGGGCACGTCAGGAATACTTTGCGGCCCACCCGATCCGCCATCACTCGTCGAAGTTCATCAATGGCGGCATGCTGCTCTCCAAGCTTCCTCTGCTGTTCGAAAACGGCGTTGAACAACACTGAGTTCTCATTGCGTAGCTCAGACTGAGCGCCACGATCAGCAGGCCTTGCCTCACGCTTGTCTCGGGTAGGCCGGTCGCCAGGTTCAATATGCACCGTGGAGGTGGCGACAGCGATGTCGTGCTCCCTGTGTGTGTTTTGCTCAGCTACAGAAACGACTTCATGTGTAACTGGCTTCTTCAACTCTTCCTTGGAGAGTTTCGTATCAACAGGCCGGCGCTGAGGCGACAATGACTCGGGCCTGAAGACCTTATTTTTCAGCTGCATCGCATGGAATTCAGTGAAGACAGTGTTGAAATATATATGTATATATATTCACATAAAGTGAATATATATACATATATGTTTCAGGAAAGTGAAAAGCCTCAGACCGAACTTAGATATAAGTGTACCGAAACCAATGAACATCTCCCTAAATTTCCTTAGAGTTTCTATATTATCACCAACATATGTAGTTGACCATGTGTATATCTTCCGTATGAAGATTTCACAACGGGAATGAGTTTACCGGTTCTTAGCTTTATTTGTGGCCTCATTGATATTCATCTGTTGTGCACTCATCATACGCTGTCTCCTTCCTGCCTGTTCCTCTTCGTGTTTCCTCCGTTCATCTTCAATCTTGACATTATAACGTAGAGAGTGTGTGTGGAGTAATCACGCGCACCTCAGCTTTAATGCGAGCCTCTTCTGCGGCCTCCTCTCGTTTCCTGTTCTCGATCTCGAGTGTTTTCGCTTTAGCTCTCATTACGATCTGAGAGACGTCTTACTCGCAGACCGTCTGCGGCAGACGTATAATTTAGCACAGTAGTGACGCGTTTATACGCCTATATGCCGACTAGCACAGCATAAACAGTCCTCAGTCCCCAGTATTGCAATAGATGTTCGCTTTTCTCAGCGAGTTTAGTGGTTAGCTCTAATTTATAAGGGAAAATAGTAAGTTCGCTCCTCTGCCTAGAGTCCAGGGCTACTAACTCTCGTTCACGCGTCCTTTGCTGAGTTAATTGGTAGATCGGCAAAGCTGGCCGGCCCAACGCTTGCGAGCCTCACTGGAGAGGCTTTATTTATCAGCCTCCGGTGATTCTTGCTCACTAATCTATTCGGAATGTATGAGATGAAGTATTCCTCTACTGCAATGTGAGGGATAATGATTTGCCCAATACTGGCTCACCTGTTCGTCCAACCATTTCTTCTGTTCATCCTGTTGTTGCTTCTTGCGTTGACGGAGCTCCTCTTCTCTCGGATCCACATTCGCGATAGGAGGAGAGGGTGACTCCAAACGCACTCTGGCGACCCGTCGAGATACTGGGAATAATAGAACACTCGGTGACGCGAATAACTCACAACTGTTAGGCGATTCGTGGCGTAAATAAGTTTCAAGATCTTCCTTCTGTTGCCTCCTCAAATCCTCTTTCCTCTTCGCCTCGGCATCTCCCAAGCCCCTCAGGACACCGCCACTCCCACCATCCTCGGCAGCGGGTCGTTCGTTCGGCACTGAGGAAGACCAGACAGTCGTTGCCTTCAAGAAATACTCATCCCACCCAGAGGCTGATACGGAACTGATCCCTTTTTTGTGTCCATGGCGCTGACCATGGATGCCGACCACCCAGTTACCGTTGGTGCAGGGACGTTTGAATTGACTCGGCGGCCTGCACGGCGTAAGAGTGTGTACATCTAGTCACCATGGAACAGAGAATAATCAACCTCAGGAGTGCTAACGAGTCCTTTTGCATTTCGATTACCTAAACTTAACCTCACCTCGATGTTGATGAGCAAGGAACCGCCGCATGTCATCTTGGATTTCTTTTCTCCTTCGTTCCACTTCGCGTATACTCGAATTGCCTATGCCCGGCAGCACGCCACCTTCCGGCGATCGTGGACGAGTTGACGTAATCTAGCGATTATAGATTCCATCAGAAACTCAGTGCAAAGTTTCACCTTAGTGTTGTCCGCTTGTCGCTTTAGATATTCCTGGAGATTCTCTTTCTCCCTCTGTTTAACGGTTCTTGCTATTTCCTCGTGTTCTCCAATGCCAGCCAGTACGGCTTCGCTCGCGGCGTATCGGCGTTCCCACCTAGTCGTAGGAGATTTGCTAGTTTCTCGCGAACCGTCATCTCTGTTATCTGCATCTACTTTCGCCGCTTCATTCGTATTCGTCTGTTTGCCCGAACTCGCATACGCTGCGAGCTCTGGTTTCTCGGGATGGCTCTCCAACTCACGTTTTGACCGTTCATCATGCACTTTCCTCTGATACTGCCCCTTGTCGGCGTGTTGATCTCCTAGAGCGCCAACAAGCGGAGATCTTGTGTGAGCAGCCCGCCGCCCCAGGAATTTTCGGCGTTTCTCCTCCCATGCTGCATCTCGTGACAATGCTTTTCCACTATCGCGCTGCCGTTCGTATTTCTCATGAAGGGTCGCCAATTCGTCCTGCTTTTTCTGAGCCCAAGCCGGACTGTTACCATTTGCTGGTGGGCCGAACAGCGTTCGATACTTATCAGAGCCCTTGAAGGTCGCTGGTGGTCGAATAGTCTCATCAATGATCATGATGATTTTCCTTCGTGGTGCATGGAATAGATTACGACTAACTGCCGACATACATACATTTCGGGCATCCTAGTGTGTCTTAACGCATTCGTTTTAATTCCAACCGTTGTCGTGTTCATGAACTCGCGAGAAAGCGTGGTATTTATGTTGATTCTGATATTGCCCGAACGAACTGATAGAACATCACTGTCTCTGAGTGAAGATAGCTGTGATGTCATAGATCTGGGAACAAATTCGATCATGCAGAGTGATCGAAAGAATGGCCAATTTCGGGAAAGGGAAATTTCTCATGTGAATATCGAACGAACTCACTTACCATTTTTTCTATCTTCCCGAGGATCCACCATTCTACCAACTGATCCACCATTCTACCAACGATCCCTCTCCATTGAGAGTTGAATCAATTCCATGTTCTCGACAAGTTATGACGATAGGGAAAAGTGCAGGCATATTCCAGCTCTGCAGTGTGTCCAAGGTCTATCGACGGTCCAACTTAGCGATATGCAATGATAATTCATCATTTGGCTGTGGAGCGGTGAACCTGGTTGGGGCCATCTCCACGGACACTGCAGAGACGGACCGTCTCTGCAGTCGTATCATTCTCTCCATCGTGATCGTCTGAGGCGGATCAATATAGTGATGACTCAGCATCATCAGGTTAGGGCTTAGCCCTAATATCTCGCCGAAGTGTCATCAAAATACTCCGTATGATGAGTCGTCTATAGTATGTTTGTCAATCAGTCGCAATTTGTAGTTCACCACGTGCCGCGCGGTACACGTGTAAAAATGATGAAACTCTCGCAACTCGAGAACCGCAGCGAATGAAGGTTCCTTTGATGTAAAGTTATTTCAACAGCAGCTATCCGAAGGGTACTCGCTGCTCCCCGTTTGACTCTGCAATACTCGTTCTACTTTGTGTCTGAAATTGATATGCAAAATTTTGTCCATCCACCGAATCTTGCGTTTTTGAACATTTTTGTGCGATGTTTGAAACCGCGCCCATTCTGTCGTAGATCGAATTCATCAAGTGGTTCGAACTAGTGTTCACTCGGCTGGGCTCACAAGGCAAAGAGTTTGCTCGACCAACTTTTACTATCGACCACATTTCAAGAGTGGATATCGATCCAAGAATTACTTTACTGGGCAACTCGTTAGTATCTATTGTCATTAACGTATCATGTTTCCGACTTTCCCTCGGATTCACCAAGGATTACTTGTTCGGGCTAGCGCTGCTACTGGAAGACGAGCTAATGAGATACGGTCCAGGAATCAGCCCAGCTTTGGTAGAAGGAGTCACAACAGTCACCATCAACAACAGCAGAAACATGGAGAGGCGGCTCAAGAGGCAGTGACGAAGACTAGTGATGGCCAGGTAATTCAGAAGATTGGTAGGCGATTTTCTTTCGGGGTTGTGAAGGTTGCTCAAAATCAAGCGAGTCAAGTACCAGGACCGGCGATGAGTAGAAGGCCAGGTAGGTATATCGTGGTGGCGGAATATCATCAT